TAAACAAAGGAGGAGGCTGCAATGCTTTATAAGAAATGTATGCATTATCCTGCCCATGTAATTGTAACCCCTCTGTACAGTATGTTCACACAAAAAAAATTAAATAAAAAAAAACTGTCAGGTACAGCACTCAAGCCCTGACTTCAAGCCCCATGATCAATAACAAAAATCCCTTAATGGACTTTGGTGGACTAAATATATACTAAGCATATTTTTCATAGACTACAGAATTAAAGTAGGAATCAAGAACGGAAGGACACTGGAACTACTACTAAGTTTAGAAATTAACCAGTACCTATCTAAATTACCAGTGGATCAAAGACTTCTCAAGAGAAGTTACATTGATGTACGTGTGTGCAAGTCCTGGGGCTTGAACTCAGGGTACTATTCTCTAGCTTTTTCCCTTAAGGCTGGTGCTCCACCACTTGAGTCACTTCCAGCTTTGTGCTGGTTCACTGGAGATGTGTTATTGACATTCCTGACTGGCCAGGTGTGAACCACCAGTGCCAAATAGGACTGACTCGGGTATGGGGGTGATTTGTCCTCTTGGTTTAGATTAGAACTGACATCAACTGAAAAAATCCTTAAAAGTACATGTATGCAACTGACTAAAACTGTCAACAGATCGTTCATAGGGTCAGGCAAATTTCAAACCCAGTCCTCTGGGCTAAGAAATGGGGGACTCACACGCACCCCTTTTCATGAAAATCCATATTCATAAAGGTTTTACAGTGGTGCTGTTCCAATTATAAGTAGCTTCTAGTTTTCTAGGACATAATTTTACTTTGTTTAAGCAAGAATTCATTAAAGCAGCTATAAATAACCTTTAAATATTGAGCCATGAATAGAGGGTTGACGGCCCTGATGGCTTATTTTAGGACTACTGCAGAATGTTTTAAAAGCCACATTTTAGCATCAAGCTAATGCTTAGCCCTTGCAGCTTAACTTGCAGTATGGGGACTACATTTCTCCTTTCCAAGTTTTACTACAAGTCATTTAAAAGTAGTCAAGTAACCAGCAATAATGAACATGCCAAAAAGGTTGTAACAGAATTTTTATTTCAAAAGTTTCTTGTACCAGTACTGGAACTCAGGGCCTGGACGCTTTCCTTGAGCTTTTGTGCTCAAGGTTAGTGCTCTACCACTTGAGTCACAATTCTACTTCCAGTTTTTTGGTGGTTCATTGTAGGTAAGCCTCACAAATTTCATTCCTAGGCTAACTCCAAACTATGAGCTTCAGATCTCAGCCTGCTGAGTAGCTGGGATTACAGCTGTGAACCACCAGCTCACAGCCAAAATCCTTAAAAAAGAAAAAAAAAGTTATCTATATAACCTTCCTGTCTCTCCCAATAGACAATCCTGTGAAAACTTTCGTTGGGGATGGGGGAGGAGAAGGGGGGAAAGAGTATGGAATTTTTAGAATTTGAGAATACAAGACCTTGGGGAGCAGCTGGGAGGTCCTGGGCTCAATACCCAGTGTCAACAAAAAAATTTAAACCAAACAAACCTCTCTAGAGGTGTGCCTCAAGTGATAAAATGCCTACCTAGTAAGTATAAAGCTGAGTTCAAACTCCAGTACCACCACCAAGAAAACAAAACACCAAACACCAAAGAACCACCTATTTACAGTGGAATTTTATACAGCTATTAGAAAGAATAAGATTATGTCATTCGCAGGGAAATGGATGGACCTACAATAAACCATGTTAAGTGAGGCAAGCCAACCTCAGAGACAAATGGTGCATGTTTCTTTAATATGCAGAAGCTAGATCTAAAATACACCAGGACATGATTAATTATACAGGACTCTAGGCACTCACACACAGTGAGACCAAAGGAAGACACTCTTAGATCACTAAGGTGCAATGCCTCTACACCTCTGATCATATAAAACAATAATGCACTCCAGGGAAAGGGAAACAAGGTGTTCTCTTTTTCCTTTATTGTTCTGGGAAACAAGGTGTTTTGTTTTTTTTTCCTTTTTTTCTGTGGCTTGAACTCTGGGCCTGAGCGCTGTCACTGAGCTCCTTTTGCTCAAGGCTAGAACTCCTCGCCACCTGAGCCACAATGCCACTTCTGGCTTTTCCCGTGACTAATTGGAGGTAAGTCTCATGAACTCTCCTGCCTGGTCTGGCTTTGAATTGTGTACCTCGAATCTCAACCTCCTGAGTAGCTAGGATTACAGGCATGAGCTACTGGAGCCTAGCTTCTTTTGTTGTTGTTGTTCTGTTTGCTCAATTATATACAGTCTTTGTGTTAGGGGAGACACAGAAATAGAGGGACAAAAGGTGAACTAATGAAGCAATGGTACCTACTAGACACAATGTGGAAAACGAACTATATGAGCTGTGGGTTGGGATGAGGGAGAAACTGGGAGAGCACAAGGGAAAGGGTGACAGTGTCCAGGAAGAAATGCATTCTCCACCTGACTTATGCACCTGTACTCCCTCTGTACATTACCTTTACGGTAAGAATTAAAAAAATCTTAAACAAAGAGCCAAACAAGAATGTGGTATGTAATAAATGTAGCTTATGTATTAGTTAATTGTAAACCATAAAGTCATTTAGAGACCCAAGTTTCATAAAACTTTTATTTGAGAAAAAAAAAAAAACCAGAAAGCATAAACATTTTACAAAATACCATTCTTGCAAATGGAAGCCACGTTCCCAGAGGTCACACACAATTCTGCCGTGTGGGGCTGGGGATGTGGCTAAGCTAGGAGAGCACTAGCCAATAAGCAAAAGCGGCCCCGGGTACTGAGTCTGCGTCCCGGTCTCAGACCTAGAAAACAGGAAAGCAGCACAGTGTGTGTGGCAGTGAAAGGAGTGACTGGAACAGAACCACCTCGGTGTAGGACCTACAAGACACTCTTTTCTTTTCTTTTTTTTAATTTTATTTTAAAGTGCCTTGAAAAGGTGAATGCGAAGGGACAGAACGGATGAACTGATTTGAAATTTTAAGAAGTTTCTTTCCCATGGACCATACACATCACGGCTGGTACCGCATGGCCTGTATTTAGTCTGAAACACGAAAAAACAATGCAGGCCAACTGCACCCACTGAAAACAATCACAGCTGTGCTGGCAGCAGAGAAAGCCAGCCTGGGCGACTCTGGGAGGAGAGAACCCAAGAAGACTGTGCGCACAGACTGATGGCCCGCCCCAGTGAGAAGTGCTGTGTCCACCTGCCTCCCAGGCCCGAGTTCAAACCGCCTGGCGTAGGGGCTGCACAGGTGAGTGGGCATATGCAGCCTGAGCAGGCCAAGCGGGCGAGGCCTAACTTTTCTGCTGCAGTCGGGCAGCTTTGAACTTGGAAACCCGCTTTGCAGGCTCTTCAGCTGCTTCTGGGAGCGTTTCTTTGCGTTCTGGAATGGTGGGCAGTCCGGGAGGAGCGATGGCGGGGTGTATTGTTGGGGAGGGTAAAAAGTCCTTTTCTATCACTGTTCCAGAAAAAGCCTATGAGACAAGGAGACCAGATGTAAGATGCCCAGGGTCTCTGCTCGTGGCCACCCAGCTGACACTCCCCACTGAAGACATGAACAACAGAATCTAACTGTGTAGAGAACCAAGGCCCACTGAAAGTCTTCAGCCAGGCACTTGTGCTCATACCTACTACTACTCAGGAGGCTAAGATCTGAGGATCATAGTTCAGAGCCAGCCCAGGAAGGAAAGTCCATGAGACTCTTATCTCCAATGAACCAACAAACAGCCGGAAGTAAAGCTGTGGCTCAAGTGGTAGAGCACTAGCCTTAAGCAAAATAAGGGACAGTGCTCGGGCCCTGAGTTCGAGCCCCAGGACTAGCACACATGCAGAAACAAACAAAAAGTCACAGGACCTCATTAATTCTAGGCTCTGCTTTCGATAATCATTTGTCAAATATACTGACACCAGGAAACTGTGTACTGTAATATTAAAATAATTCAAACCAATTTTTGGGAAACTATAGTGTCTTGAAGTTTTAATACCTCATGTAGCACATGTTGTGTTTTGGGCTAGAACGTCAATTACCTGGTTTACATGAAATAAATTACCAATGGACCTGAGGAGTTTTTTGCTTTGTTTTGGTGCCGGTACTGGGGCTTGCTTGCACCGAGGGCCTGGACATTTGTTATCTAGCATCTTCACTCAAGGCTGGTGCTACAGCCACTTGAGCCACAACTCCATGGCTGGCTTTTGGTGGTTCACTGGAGATAAGAGTCTCATGGATTTCTCTGCCTGGGCTAAGAACAGCCATCCTCTAGATCACTGCCTCCTGAGTGGCTTCCCCATGACTTTGGAAAGGAGGAAGAAAAGGGGCAGTGGGAGAAGCAGGGGTTAATCAGCACTGACTGACCTGGGGCCGCTGGCCCCCGGGGGGCTCCTCAAGGAGGCCTGGGCCGGCCTCCCCGGCCTCACTGCTGGACTCTGTCTCACAGCTGAGGCTCCGCAGCACGGTGCGCCGCTCATCGGGCTCAGCCGCGCTGCTCTCGCTGGTGTCGCTGCACACACTGTTCTCCCGGCTGCGTGACTTCAGGATGGACTTGCGTGGGACATACTCACCATTCACCACATCCACGAAGACCCTGGACATCCAGAAACACGCAGTACTGCTAGGGGAGCCTGCAGCCAGCCATGACACCCCAGAGCCCATCTAACTTTCCTTGTTAACACACCCCTGCAATACCAGCCAGCTAGGAGGCCAAGAGCTGAGGACAGCAGTTAGAAGCCAGACAGGGCAGAAAAATCCATGAGACTCATCTCCAATGAACTGCAAAAAGCCAAAAGTGGAGATGTGGCTCAAGTGGTAGAGAGCCAGCTCATAGTGAAAAAGCTCAGGGACAACATCTAACCCCTGAGTTTCATCCCTACTATTGCTTAAGTAAGTGAAAATAAATTAAAAAAAGAGCCAAGTGCTGGTGGCTTATGCCTGTGACCCCAGGTACTCAGGAGGCTGAGATCTTGGGATCATGGTTAGAAGCCAGTCTGGGTAGGAAAGTCTTTGGGATTCTTTATCTCCAATGAACCATCAAAAAGGCCAGAAGCAGAGGTGTGGTTCAAGTGGTAGAAGTGCTAACTAGTCTTCAATGAAAAAGGGAAAAACAAAGAGACAGTGCCCAGGCCCTGAGCACAAGCCCCAGGACTGGCAACGGGCATGCACAAAAGTTGGGCACCACCCATAATCCCATCTACTCAGAGGAGGCTTAGATCTGAGGATTGCTGTTCAAAGCTAGCCCAGGCAAGAAAATCCATGGGACCTTTATCTCCCATTAACCACAGAAAGCCAGAAGGGGAGCTGTGGCACAAGTGGAAGAGCACAAAAGCTCAGGGACAGAGCCCAGGCCCAGAGTTCAGGTCCCAAAATAAGAAAAAAAAGTAAAAAAATAAATCCAGTGGCGCATCCTCAGGATTGGACCCCGCTCTGCAAGCACTGAGCTGCCCCCCCCAGGACTATGTACACGGCCTCCTATCCAGCATCATCCTTACTCCCAGCCCAGGCCTGGGTGTGAAAGCTGGGGCTGGAAGGAGTGGGTGGAGTGAGCTGGAAGGAGTCTGTTGTCCCACACACCTGTAAATGTCAGCCGGGGTCTTGATGGTGGGCAGCTCATGGGCACCATGGCCACTGCTGGTGTTCTTGCGCTTCCGTTTGGCTTCTTCTTTCTTTTCACTGAACTTCAAGGTGGTGTTTTTCCCAGTATTTATTCGAACCTAAAAGTTGCAATTTAAAAAATAGATTTTTTCTTTTAAAAAGCATAGAAACCTTTTTGAGAAATCAGGACGCACGCTAGAGAGAATGATACGCATAATGAGGAACACGGGGAGCACATGGGCTGTGACGCTAGTGATGGTCCTGTGTGACAGGGTCCTTTCCTGACACAGTACTGCCCCTGAGTGACATCATCCCAGCAAGCAAGCCAGCCCCACATGGAAAGCGAAACACATTTCAGCTAAATGGTTAATTTTGTCGGTCATGGGGTCTGGGAACTATCCCTCAGCTCTTCAGCTCAAGGCTAGCGCTCTACCACTTGAGTCACAGTGCCACTTCCGGCTTTTTTCTTTTTGCTTATGTGGTGCTGAGGAATCGAACCCAGGGCCTCATGCATGCAAGGCAAGCACTCTACCACTGAGCCACCTTCCCAGCCCTAAATGGTTCTTTGTGTGTGTGTGTGTGTATGTGTGTGTGTGTTTTTTTTGGGGGGGGAGGGTGCCAATATTGGGACTTACATTTAGGGCCTGAGCACTGTCCCTTAGCTTTTTCAAAAACTCAAGGCTGGCATTGTACAATCTCTACTTCCAGTATTCTGGTGGTTCACTAGAGACAAAAGAGTCTCACGAACTTTCCTACCCTGGCTAGCTTTGAACTGTGATTCTCAAATCTTAGCCTCCTGAACAGCCAGGATTATATGCTTCGCTTAAATGTTACATTTATTATACATTTATTATAAGCTTCACCTCATCCCATTTCTCTGGTGTTTTTAGCTTAAAGTGTGCAAAGTGTCCAAACTAACCAAAAAGGAACAGTAAAATCTGGATGACATTTAAGTCAAAAAGCAGTTATGAGATAGTGCTTAATTATTTTAAATTCTTTTAACACTTCGTATTTCAGAAAACGAGTCTAAAACATAAAAACCCACTCAGTTGAGAATTAAATGTTAGTGTTCCGTTACACCACATACTTCCTATGTCATGCCTCCAAGTGTTATTTCCTATTTTATCTAAATGAAAATAGGAAAAATTAAAAAACTGAAAAAAAAACTCACAAAACTAGGGTGCCAGTGGTTCACACCTACAATTGTAGCTGCATAGGAGGCTGAGATCTGAAGGAATCTGAATTTCAAGGCCAGCCTAGGTAGAAAAGCTCACTAGACTCCATTTCTAAAACCACCAGTAAAATAGCAGGGCTGGGCTTGGCACTAGTGGCTCGTGCCTTTGATCCTAGCTACTCAGGAGGGTTTAGATCTGAGGATCACAGTTCAAAGCCAGCCCCGGCAGGAAAGTCTATGAGACTCTTATCTCCAATTAACCAACAGAAAACCAGAAGTGGCGCTGTGGCTCAAGTGGTAGAGCACTAGCCTTGAGCTGAAGAGCTCAGGGACAGAGCCCAGGCCCAGAGTTCAAGCCCCACAACTAGCCAACTGTCAGCATTTTTCTCTTTGAAAGAAAAAAAAAATCAGCTCATTGCTATCATCCTAGCTACTCAAGAGGCTGAGATCTGAGGATCACAGGTCAAAGCCAGCCTGAGCAGGAAAACCTATCTCCAACAGACCAGCAAAAAGCCAGAAGTGGAGGTGTGGCTCAAATGATAAGAGACTTGAGCAAAAAAGCCAACAGACGAAAGGAGGGGGAATAGAAAGAGGAAGAAGAGGAAGAGGAAGGGGGAAGGAAGGATGGATGACATTTAATGATCATATTATATACAAAATGAGTCAAGTTATAAAGTATACAAACCCTCTTAGGTTCAACAGTATGAGAAAAATAGATGGTTGGTACAGAATTGTCTCCAACCCCTGAAGCACATGGGTGGTTCTCCTTATTGCCATCTTCATCCCCATCATCATCATCGTCCCCATCACTGTCATCTTCCTTGCTGTGGTAAGAGTTTGAGCCATTCACTGGACATAGCGATAGACCCCTGAGCAGGGCTGAGCTAGGAGCGAGCTTCCAATCACTTCTGGGAGTGAAGGAGCCATGGGCTCCACCGCCCCCAGGCCCACATGCCTTCTGCTCCTCCTTTTCCTCTTCAGAGGAGTTCTCATGTCCGCCATTTGCAATCACAGTGTCAGGCTTACTGCCAAAGAAACAATATTATCAACAACATGAGATGAAAACACATCAGAACTGTAATGCTTGCAATTTTCAATTCATTTTAATGAAAAAATTTAAGATTGTATATTCTTTGAGTGTGTGTGTGTGCTTGAAATCAGGGCCTGGGCTAGTGCTCTACTACTTGAATCACAACTCTATTTTCAGCTTTTTTGCTGGTTAATTGGACATTAACAGTCTCACAGACATCCTGCCTCGGCTGGCTTCAAACTACAATCTTTAGATCTCAGCCTTCTGAGTAGCTAGGATTACAAGCTTGAGCCATTGGCACCCAGTCTCTCTCTCTCTATATATATATATATTTAAACTATCTAGGTTAAAAGAGGACAACAGTAAAAACATGATTTTTTTTTGCGGGGGGCGGTTAAGTCGTGGGGCTTGAACTCTGGGCCTGAGCGCTGTCCCTCAGCTCTTCAGCTCAAGGCGAGCACTCTACCATTTGAGCTACAATGCCACTTTCAGTTTTCTGGTAGTTTATTGGAGATAAGAGTCTCACAGACTTTCTTGCCCAGGCTGGCTTTGAACCACAATCCTCCGATCTCAGCCTCCTGAGTAGCTAGGATTATAGGCGTGAGCCACCAGCGCCTGGCAAAACAGATGAATTTTTAAAATATAGGTTTTGAAGTAAATTAACAAAACATTAGTTTCTGTGCCACTTCCGCATACTGGAATTATTCTAGCATCAACAGCTCACAGGAGAGGAGCTTTTGTCACTAGGTATTGGCCAGACACAATATAAATACAATATCAATAGTATAATAAGAAACTCAAAGAATATTTATTTCTAGCTAGATGCCAGTGTCTCATACCTGTGTATATAAACACCTGCTTCATTCTATACAGGCTTTCAGAACCTTACAAAAATAACAAAAACAAAAAGGCAATACCACTGAAGTAACATCATGCAAAAATAAAAAGAATCCTGACTAAGAAAATCACCAGATTCAATGGTGGTTTGAAGAAATTAAACAGTGGCAGTTAATCTAAAAGCAACAACAACAAAAAAGACCTAGGGAATGTGCAGGGGAGATAGCAGGGGGGAAAACTCTTCTGTATCTTTGTCCTCCCCCCCCCACAGAAACTAACTATGCATATGTTATATCATTTAAGGCAAAATAATATAGAAACTTCTGTGGTAGCAAGCATCGTTTAGTACTTTGACAATTCAAAGTGACTGCTAATGTGTATTTCAAATAGCAGTTTGGTAAAGTTTCTTGTACCTGAGCAGATTAGAAATTGCCTGTTCAATAAACAGAAAGGCTTACAAACACAAGGCAAGGCCAAACAATTTTCAGAATCAAACTCAAAGGAAATTGATGTTTTGAAAAAGTCACTCAAAGACAGAACACTATCATCCTGAGTACAGCATGAAAACACATGCTGGGTGTGGCTCAGTGGAAGATGGCTTGCCTACCATTCTTAAAGCCCTGGGTTCAATTCTCTGCATCTTTTTTTTAAAAAAACTTAATCTTTGCCGGGCACTGGTGACTCACACTTGTAATCCTAGCTACTCAGGAGGCTGAGATCCGAAGATCACGGTTCAAAGCCAGCCCAGGCAGGAAAGTCCATGAGACTCTTATCTCCAATAAACCACTAGAAAACCAGAAGTGGCGCTGTGTCTCAGCGGTAGAGCGCTTGCATTGAGCTGAAGAGCACAGGGACAGCTCCCAAGCCCAGAGTTCAAGCCCCACGACTGACCAAAAAAAAAAAAAGTTAGTCTTTTAAAAACTTACATAATATATCCATCACTAAGAAAAACCAATTATATGATAAAATATAATATAAAAATAAAATGAAAATATGTAGTAAAAAATAAAAATAAAAAATGAAGATGAGATTTTGGGGATTTTTGTTTTGTTTTGATGCCAGTACTTGGGCTTGAACTAAGGGCCTGTGCACCGTCCCTGAGATGTTTCTGCAAGGCTGGTGCCCTACCACTTGAACCACAGCATCACTTCCAGTTTTTTCAGTGATTAAGTGGGTTAAGAGTCTTTCAGATTTTCCTTTCCTGGTTTGACTTTGGGATTACAGGTTTGAGCTATCAGCATCGAGCCTAGTATTTGCACACATCAGACACTCCTATGGAAAGTACTGAAGCAGAGTATGGCTCATACCTAGCAAGCATCAGACTCTGAGGTCCAACCCAATACAGAAAAGAAAGGGTCATGGGGGAGAAGGGAAAACAAAGTACTCTAGAGAGTACTCTTGGAGTGGGAAAATGGGCAATTTAACATGGCATGGTTTGCTGCTTGATTCCAATGAGCACATACCACCTTATTAACGAGGGACTGCGGATGAAGCACAGCTCTTGGAAAGCTAATCTGTCCTGAGATACCTGTCAAGTTCACCCAGCAATTCTTCTTGCCTTTCCAGTTCTTCAAGTCGAGCCCACAGTTCCTTGTCAGCTAGCAAATCCTTAGATTTTGAATCATTGGCAAAATCAGCTTCAAAAAGACCTGAAGTTTTTGGTTTGGAATGAGGCTTATGAGCAATTCGTTGCTTTCCTATTTTATAAAAAGACAATTAGATTAAAAAATGTAATTGTTAGTATTTTTACTTTGTTAGTCATAGGACTTGAACTCAGGGCCTAGGCACTGTCCCTGAGCTCTTTTTGCTCTAGGCTACTGCTCTACCACTTTGAGCCACAGGTCCACTTTTGCTTTTCTGGTGGTTAACTGAAGATAAGAGTTTCACAGACTTAGCCTTAGCTGGCTTCCTCAGATGGTCCTCAGATCTCAGCCTCCTAAGCAACTAGGATTACAGGCATAAACCACCAGCACCCAGCATGATTGCTAATATTAAAAATCAAATACAAACAAAAAAACCCACATTATTCTAACTCTATAATCAATGGGATAGACGCCCAAGAGTGCTAAGGCTAGGTCACAGGGGAGTTCTATTTGAGGAATCTCCAAACTGCCCTCTACAGTGGTTGCACCAATTTTCACTCGCACAAACAGTGTTATAGGAGCGGCTCCTTTACATGGATATGGATGGCTGGACCTAGAACAAATGATGTTAAGAGAAGTCAGGCCCAGAGAGACAAAGACACATGTTTTGTCTCATCCATAGAAGTTATATCTGAATTATGTACACAAACATGTTGACTAAAGTATGGCCATCGAACTATTCAAGGTACATATGTAGAAATGGAAGTAGGTAATTTGAGGGGAGGGGTGACATTGATCAAAATGCACTGCACTCAAACTGAAATGTTGAATTGTAACCCCTTTGTACAACAACTTAAAAGATAAAATTCTAGCTGGATGCCAGTGGCTCCTGCCTATAATCCTAGCTACTCAAGAGGCTGAGATCTGAGGATCACAGTTCAAAGCTAGCCCAGGCATGAAAGGCTGTAAGACTCTTAAATTAACCACCAGAAAACTGGAAGTGGCGCTGTGGCTCAAGTAGTAGAGTGCTTGCCTTGAGCTGAAGAGCTCAAGGACAGTAACCAGGCCCAGAGGTCAAGCCCCATGACCAACAAGGAAAAAAAAAAAAAAGAGCCTGGGCGTTGTCCCTGAGCTTTTTTGCTCAAGGTTAATGCTCTATCACTTAAGCCACAGCTCCACATCTAGATTTTTAGTGCTTAACTGGAGGTAAGAGTCTCACAGACTTTCCCATCCAGCTGGCTTTGAACTACAATCCTCAGATCTCAGCCTCCTGAGTAACTGGGATGACAGGCATGAGCCACCGGCATCCAGATGAGGTTTTCTTTGGGAAGAAGGATGTGGAGATGTGCATGATTTTTAGGCGGGGGGAGATGGGAGGGGGGTGTCTATATGGCTCTCAGGAGTCACAGACCCACAGGACCACATCCCTGG